AAGTGGACAGGACGTGATCTATTCTATCCGTAGCATTTCTCTGCAAACTGAGCTCACATATCCTTTGGGCTGACTGCACAGACAACAGAAGAAAGAAGTGGAAGGAACTTGGACTCAGGATTGCCTCCCTGAAAAGGTTTCCTTCAGGTGGAATTATGTGCGAACAAATGACATCAGAAAATGGCGTGTCGGTGCACCTCTGCCAGCGCCGTGCGGCTCGGCTTGTTTTCACAGGTTATCTGATTAGTTCAACAAATACGTCGTGAGTTCCCATCACACTTAGGTGCCGTTCTAGGCAGTGGAGGTACGGTGGTCAGTTAGACAAGTCGACCCTCACGGGGCCTGCATTGCAGAAGGAGAAGAAAACAGCACGTAAATGATCAGAAAAATATCTTGTCAAACGTCAGGTGGTGATTGCTGCTGTTAAGCAAATGGGGTCGAGGGTGTGGGGTGACACTGTAGACTGTGTGTTTTGCGAAGGGTTTTCTGAGGTGGTGACTTTTGAACAGAGGCTTAAATGAAGTGACCTATCTGCTGAATCCAGAAAGCCTAATTTTACAGATTTTGAAAGAGGGTGGGCTGCCATAAGCTAGCAAAAGGGTTAGGAAGGTATTTTGATTCAAAGATGCCCAGTTTAAATACCCATAAGAATGGTCCCTTCTCTCCCCCCGTGTGGCCCTTTCGGTGGGAACCTGGGTAGCGCCTTAAACATTTTCTTGGGAATTTTCTTGCGTGTGCGACACAGTAACCAGTGTGGGTTCCACTGTCTGCTGTCTTGACCTCTTTCTACTTGCTGGCAAGAAGCAGAAGCTGTGAAACTGGCATGTAGAAACGTAAAATGATTTTACACTTTTCAGCCCGGGCAGAAGATGGCAGAGAGATGGGGGGCAGGGGGACAGGAAAACAAGACATGAAAAACAAAAGGCGCAGTCTGAGTGAGCTCTCTTTTTGGTTTTCTGTTTGTCTTGCGATAGCTTCCTCACTGGCCCTGTTAAAAAGTAAACATCTCTGCAGACTTACTTTTCCTTCAGCAGGTGCAGTAAGGCTTACTAAAGTGTCTCTTCCCTTCTGCAAGGTGCAAACTCCGCCTTAGCAGATTTGAAGGCTTTCACATAATTCAGATAGCAATGGAGGTTTTAACTTGGCCAACATCAACCTGCAGACCAGGAACCTTTCATACATGGAACACTTCCTTAGAATAAAACTGAGGATAAGAATATTTGCCAAACCTAGACTACAAACGATTTATTTAGAAGTACAGAATGTAAAAACAAAACAAAACAAAACCCAGATTTATTTCAAAAGATGATAACATGATGATTATTGACTTTTACTCCTAAATTACTGATTTGTTTAAATAGCAAGATAATGTTAGATGTTTACAAGTGTCTGTATCTTGGAAGTGTTTCTTGTCTGAACTAAAGCTCATCCTCATTTCTAAGGAGCAGATTAGGAGCTAGTGCCTGCATGGGTGTGCGTGTGCATCGATGTGTCTTTAGTGACATACGACCACATGAGGCTCATTCTAGGGTCAGGACGTCTAGAAGACGTCTAATCTGAACATGAAAATTGAGAATGGAATTTAAGTAACTCGTTTCTGCCCAGGCACTCTTCTGTCTGTGGGAAGCTTTGCTGGTGAGCTCACTTACCTTCACGCTCAGGTCTAGCTGATGACACGCTCGGATGACAACCGTGACCCTGACTTTGAAGATGTCTAAGCTGCCCTTTTCTCTGAGACTGTCCTTAGTGCCTTCCACGAACCTGGAGTCCTCTGTGATATCTGACAGACACCTTATTTTCTGTTACTCACCAAAATACTGATAACCTAATGTGCACCCTTCAGAGTGGGAAGGTAGCAAGCGAATTGAATATATGATGTTTGCATTCTCTCTTAGAATTATACCAAATCCAGTGTAGCTGATTTGAATTTTGCTTTTTTAAATTAAAAAAAAATACAAAATCTATTTTCTGGTTTGGCAACTAGGACACTGGTTAGAACGAATAATGATTATTTGTGTTCTGATGTAAGAATGATTTGCACTGGACTGAAAAGAGCTGGAGATGAAACCCCAGATTCTTCACTGGTTGAGCTCTAGAAAGAGGGACAGTAGTCATCTGGGGGAGACTGCAGATGCCGAATTAACCTGATTCTACTTTGACAGCTGTGATTCGTTGTGCATGGCTGTCCACGTATACACACCCCAGAAACAAAATTCCTGGATTCTGACTGAAATTTACACAAGAATTTATATTCTCGGATGTATAGAGAATGTAAGTGCTATTTGAAGAAAAGAATCCAATGGCAGTAGTGTTGACTAGTGTTAAGAAGAAGAAGAAGAGTTAAAACATTTTAAGTACAATTATAATCTTTTTATTTGAGAAATTATCATTTAAATTCTAATATATTAATAGTACCTCATTTTTTTCTCCATGGATTCATACAGTGGAATTCTATTTCTGTCTCCAAGTAAAGGCCTATAATTACATCAGACCGACACAGCGATTTATCACGTGTCTGCTGTGTGGCACAGACTCTGAGAGTCCCTTTCACCTATACAATTTAATTTAATCATTTCAACAATCAGAAACATAGCATTGTTATCTTTGTTCTGTAGATAGAAAAAATAAAAAGAGGCCCCAAACGCTTCCGTGGCTTAGCCAACATCATATACAACCAGGAAACCAGGTTTTCTGATTCTAAGTTTAATACTTAATATATTGCCTTCCCCATAAGAATTGTTAGAAATAGTTTAATAATCATGCATAAGGCTTTTTCCATTGCCTCTGTAAAGTAGCACTGCCCCAAAGCTTAGATGTAATTAATGAGGTAAACGTTTAAGCTTTATTTGGTCTATCTTCAAGACTTTGGCTTAGTAAATTTTTTGTTGACTAAATATTAGATAAGTAGTTGTTTAATGAATTATTTCTTGAGCATCTATGACTGACTGTCCAGTGCCATAATCTCCAAAGCATGGGTTTCTGTTAAAATCTAAGTGGGAGCTAAGAGCTTGGAATTAGCATCCCAGCAGAGTCTCCCCACCCCCACCCTGCCGCCATGTCCAAACCTTTCTACCAGTTGTGCATTAATTCTAAGACCAGAAATGGCTACATAATTTGCAAGGTCAGTGCAAAATAACAATGTAGGGTCCCTTGTCCAAAAAGTACCAAGAATATCAAGATGGCAACAGTAGAGAGTTAAGCCACGCCCAGGACCTTTCTGAGCTTGGGGCTCTGTGTGAGTGAACAGGTTATATGCTTGTAAAACCATTTAGGTCTAAAGAAATAGATGTTGACTTTAGTATCCTCAGAATATAGCCCAAAGAAATAGACCATGATGAAGCTTACTGATTCAGCGGCATCAAAGAAAAAACTGAAAGGGAGTGTACAAGTGCTTAGGAGTAAGTGTAGACCAACCTCAGGTCTGGGTCTGGATTCAGATTCACTGTTAGTATCGCCGCCTCTCAGGGAAGAATGGCAGGATGACGGAAGAAAGCAAAAGACTTTGTCTTCCGTGCACAGGCTGAGAGCAGTGTGGACAGTGCTTCTGTAAACGTCCCGCTGAATAGATTATTTAAGTGACATTTATCCCTGTACCTCTTCTCCTGTCCCCAGAGATGTGGCATTGTTCCCTAGTTACAGTGTCTACAATGTAGCTTAAGGGGTTTTGTGGAAATGACCTTTGTATCATCTCTTTAATTGAAAACCCTCTAGATTAGAAGGGCAGGAACCATGCCTGTCTTTATTCACTGTCCTTTCCCCAAGCCCCAGTACCTGCCTGCCACCTAGTACATGCTCAGTAAGGATTTGCTGAGTGACTGAAATGTTGAATAATTGAAAGAAGGTCGGAGGGAAGTAGTAAGACTGACATTTAAGTGATTATGGGAGTGGATATTGTGGTAGAAGGGTTAGTTCTGTTCTCCAGACTCTGCAAGAGAGCAAGTAAAAAATATCAAGTTTTTTATTGTGAATCTAGTGACATCAGTACTGTATCTCTGTGCCAACATATTGGTTTGCTTGTTTTTGTTTACATTTTCCCAAGGGAACTGCTTCAGTAATAACGAAAGTCAGTGAAGTAAGTAAGGGGATTGCAAAGGTTTCCCAGCTGATTCTGCCAATTGAAATGTTTTTATTGTGCTGGTTTGGGGAACAGAGTGAGTCTCAAAGCTGAAATTAGGTCAGTATAAGTTTGTGCGCATGCATGTATTTACACACACACACACACACACTACCCTCATCAGTAAATTATTTGAATAATAAATGAAATAGGGGTCAAATTTGGGAACGTGAAACAGATAGCATGCTTTTTGTGCTTTGAGAGTAGATCCAAAAAGTAAGCAGGCAAGTCCAGCAAAACTTGGAGACCTCAGAAAGCCACCAGTGTACACAGGAGGCTGACGTTGAGGTTTTTTTTTTCCTTTTCTTCCCCTCACGTGCAGTCCAATAGCAACTAATCCCGGAGAACTAAAAATACACAAGGTGCACAGTAACTCCCTTCTTCGACCCTTTCTGTAATGTGTACGGATCTGACTGGTAAAAGACTCAGCTCACTCGGCAGAGAGCTGGCCCCTGTTGGTGGCATCTGGCCGTGGAGTTTTCGCGAGGAGAGCAGTGGGGCCGGGCTGTCCCCGTCCTTTTCTGCGGGAGGCGGAGCCGCGGGAGCCTGAGCGGTAGCAGCGGGCAGCCTGGGGCGCGTGGGGCGCTGGGTCTGCAGGCGCCTGACAAGCGGAGGCTGCAACGGGGTGTTGGGAAGCCTGGCTTTCTCCCCCAGCGCCCTCTTGTTCTGCAGTTCCCTGGCACTGCGTGGGAGCCACGCAGGCGAATTAAATTCTCTCTAGAGGTTCAGCCTTGTAGAGAGGTGAAAAACCTCATCTCTCGGCTGCAGTATTTGTCACTGGCTCTGCCCTTCCCCGAGGCAGGCTGTTGGACATCCAACAGCCAGACTGGTCAAGAGTGACGTGTTTCCTTTGTATTTACATATTGATTCGTTTTAACTCTTTCAGGATTGTCCCAATCAGTTTTGGACAGACTTTGGGCCCCATGTTGGTACAGACTAATTTCCATGGCTACTCCTGCATAAGTGAATTTGCCATTCTCTGGCTCCAGAAGAACTTGGATCTGGGATGACCAGAGCATCAGGTACTTCTCAGAGTTTTGCACACTTGCTTTCTCACTTTTTATATTTAAATATGGAGTTATGCGAATCATTGTCTTGTTATCTTTGAAACCATTAACTTCGCAACCCCTGTGCGTTTCCTGTGTGCTTGTCCTGTTGGTCAGTATCATTGCATTGTGTTTGAGAATTCTTACAATGGCCACGTTAAGGTACAGATTTGTCAAAGTGAAACTTCATTCACCAAAAGAAGAAGGATTTTTAAATTAGTCCAGGTCATTGGTTGGTTTGCAGATTTTGCTAATAACTGTAGCCTCTCAGGTAAGAAAGCTACAGGTTATCTAGCACCTGTAAATAAATTCGAATCTCTGGCCAAAGAGATTAGAGCCTTGGTTAGGAGAGGAGTTCCAGGGAAAATGCTGTGGTCTTTAAGAAGTCATGGATCAGGGAGAGCAGACTGGAGTCAGGTGAATGGAGTTCTCTCTAAGAGAGCAAGGAAGAGAAAGGAGGGAGAGAAAAAGAGGAAGAGAAAATGGGAGAGAGTGAAAAAAGAAGGGAAAGAAGGAAGGGAAGGAAAGAAAGAAGGAAGGAGGGAAGGAAGGAAAGGAGGCTGATTCTATAGGATAAAAACTGTGAGTTTGACATTGGCCCAAGAAAGAATTCTAGATTGGATTAACAAGATGATGCTTTGTAAGCACTTAAAGCACTTAAGCTAGAAGAGTGAATCTGGGCTTCAGGAAAACATATGACTTTTCTTGTATGCTTATTATTACACAGTTAGGTAGAGTAGTCATTGATTGAACAAGATATATACACGGGGTGCTTGCAGTGTGCTAACGCTCTTGTAGGATGTCATGGTCCCTTTCCTTGGCCCTGTCCTGTTCCATGTCCTGTTCCGTGTGAGTTTGATGAGAACAGAAAGCCGTGGAAGACACAGATTCTGGAGCCAGATTGTCTAGTTTTGGATCCTGGCTCTGCCACTTACCAGCTCTGTGACGTTAGGAATTTAATCTTTTTGTACTTCAATTTCTTCATCTATAAGATGAGAATAACAATAATGTCCATTTCATAATTTTACTGTGAATATTAAGTGAGTTTAAAATGCTTAAAACAAGGACTGGCATAGAAGCAGCACTAGTGTTAGCTGATATCAACACCAGTAATAAAGATACATAGATGATGTACTTACAAAGTGTATTGAAACAAAGATACAGTGAGTTATAAACTAATATAGGAAGCTGAACGTAACAAGATGAAATTTAACACGAAGAAATAAGAGGTCCTATATTTGAATCCTCAAAAGCAAATTGGATTAGAATTGACTTCCAGCTCAAAAGAAGCCATTTATTCGTTGGTCCTTAAGCACCAACCACTGGCCAGGCTCAA